TAGGTGAGAAGCCTTATAGTAAATGGTATTTGGAGAGCCAAGGAAAGAGGCAATTACTATAGAATAAAAAGCAAAAGGGAGCATTACTCCCATAACACAGGGCTCATGGGGAGTTCTTGGGGTAGAAAAGAATGGTTAAGGGTAAGACAGAGTCCCAGTCTCAGCAGGAGGGCTGAGGGAAAGTAAGATATTCTAACACAGGGACTAAGATGGATTCTGTTATCAGGATTAATACAAGGTTGGGAGCTGAATTTATAGTAGATACTAGTGACAGAGTAGGTGTCTAGCTATGGAATCCTTATTTATTTCTACACCACAGAACTTTTAAAAGCTCTCTGTGAAAACAGGTTCCCTCTCGGTGCCAGAACTGTAGAGGCTGCTGGTGGGGGCTTCAGGGAAACAGCCGGGGGAGGGGAGGTTAAGAGGGATGAAGGAGGAAGAATCAGTTCGTTCTGCTTGGGTAGTTTTCAAGATCAGAACATCTAGAAAGTCTGGGCTGAGGAAGCTGAAATTTTTCAAACTCTGTGAGAGACAAAAGATAACTGAAAGCTTATTCTTAAATGTGAAGAAAATGTGCGTGAAGATGGGATGAGAGCCTAGGTCTCCCTGTGCTTATCGCAGACTCTCCTGGTGCCCTGGGTCCCATCCTGTCAGCCAGACTGTGACTTCAGCCATGGCTACTATGGATGGTCTCTGCTTGCAGAGAACACTCCGCTTCCGGTATCCACTGTCCCCTGACCTTCTCTCCTCTTTTCTGCCTCAAGGTTCTCTCTGAAGCCCCCAGGAGTTTCCAGGCAGGAGTACAGAGCATTTAAAGCCCCTCAGGCACCCCTCAAGAAAGGGGGGATGGCAGCCAGTGGACAGACGCTCCAGCCTCTCGCCCTCTGGGCACACGTTCCTGACGTGCACTCCTTGATCCAAAGTTGCCCTTAGTGGGAGTTGTCAAAAAAAAAATACCTGATTTTGGCTTTTCCTCCTCTGTCACACTCTTCTCCATGCCTTTAATCATGCTTCCTGGGATCATCTCCCAAATAAACTGCCTGCACTTAAGTCCTTGTCTCAGACAACATCTTGGGAAATAAAGGTTGGAGGAGAGAGAGGGAGTTATTTTAGCGTCCTTTTTTTTTTGCACGGTTATGTTTTCATTAGTGTTTGCACTGCATTTCTGCTTCTCCATAGGTCACCAAGATGCTGGCAGTGGTTGTCGTTCTGTTTGCCCTTCTATGGATGCCCTACAGAACTCTTGTGGTTGTCAACTCATTTCTCTCCAATCCTTTCCAAGAAAACTGGTTCTTGCTCTTTTGCAGAATTTGCATTTATCTCAACAGTGCCATCAACCCCGTGATTTACAATCTCATGTCCCAGAAATTCCGTGCAGCCTTCAGAAAGCTCTGCAAGTGTAAGCAGAAGCCCACAGAGAAACCCGCTAACTACAGCGTGGCCCTCAGTTACAGCGCCATCAAGGAGTCCGATCGTTTCAGCACAGAGCTGGATGATATCACTGTCACTGACACTTACTTGTCTGCCACGAAAGTGTCTTTTGATGACACCTGCTTGGCTTCTGAAAAAACCGTTGGCCAAAGTTGATTCATGGAATAGAAGAAAACAGATGACAAAGTAAATGAGAATCTGTGCGCTTATCAACCCAAGAGAGGAAACGGCCAGTACTCGTCTGTGAAGACAGAGCAGATCAAGTCTACCGTTGTGCTAACAAATCCTGGCCCAAGTTGCTGTAACCCATGAGAATGATTTTTTTCTTCTCCTCTCAAAAAATATATATCATAAGAAACTGAGTGGATCTGTGAAAGATGCAAATGGTGGAAACTGAAACTGTAGCCCTTTCCCTTTAATTTGAGAAATTCACTGTATTTTCTGGGGCTATGAAGTTTAGATAAAATCTAGACATAAGTTTACCTTATTTGCAATAACTTTATCAAACGTAATTTCTCACCCTCCCCCAAATTATTTACACGTTTGGTGATTTGGCAAAATGCAAATTTAATGTTTGCATTTAGCATTTCATTTAATGAATATCTGGGACTACAGGGGAAAACAGAAAAAACATCTTACTTACTGAGGAAAAATGAGATTTCAGACAAATATGTTCACCATATGGAAAAAAGTCATAATGCTGATAAAATTCTGAGTTGATTTTTATATCTTACAAAGTAGACGGTCATCATTCAACTTTAATGTAAACTTCAAAATAGCCAAACTTCAAAATAGCCAAAATTACCAATTGAGAAGACATGTAGATTTGATATTTAGATAAATCCAGCTCTTCACTCATGGAGCCTTCAAAGGATGTGTGAGACAGCAGAAATATCAAGATTAAGTAACTGGGAAGATACATCCTAACATATAATTAACACTGAAAAGTATAGCCAAGACAAGACCAAGTATTTAAAATAAGGTTTTCTTTTTTTCTCTGAAACTCTTAAGGAAGAAAACCTTTTTGAGCATTCTTGTATATAAACTACTGAGCCATGTCAAGCGAATCCTTCTAGCTGAACCTAGCTTACAAGTCTGAAACATCCTCGGAAGTTTAATTCCTATTCTAAATCAGCCAAAGTCTGACTGTCACATTTCCAGGTGAAGACTCCCCGCTGAGCATTGTAGTCTATGGATTTTAACTTGTCTGCAATTGTCTTTCCTTCCTGCCTGCCTGCTTGTCATTTATAGGTTCTTTTTTTTTTCCAAGTGCTAGCAGTATTTTGTTTACATATTCTAAACCAAAGCGATGCAAAATTCTGTTGGCTTTATTTTCAGTAGAGCTAAAACTGATTTTATCTCATTTTCAATATCTCTTTTCGTTATGACTTAGAGCTGCTATTCTATTCCAGTGATTATTAGAGAGGTGTGAATGTGAATCTGTCAGGTCCTACTTTCATCTCTTTCGGTTGACTCATCTACTAAGATTTGGCTGATCGGTACCTCCCAGTGTGAAAACCACCCTTGGTCATGGTTCAGTAATAGCTGATTTTTAATGACTAGGTCAGAAAGTGCTGGGTACTTTTAAGTGCCCCACAGACTGGCAGTTTCCCTCTCCGGGGTATATCCTTATCTTGCAGATTTTTTCTAAAACCTGATTGGTAATGATAAGTACCCCCACACAAACCTCTCTTTGAAGAAAATGTCACTCTATTTTGGAAACTTCAGTTTTTAACTGCTGCTTCATGGAGACTCTGCCATCCAGAACCTCGGTCCAGAAACACTTTGCTGAAATTTGGCCTCATTGACTCCATGAAGACATTCTTATCCTGTCAAACAAATTCAAGCAGATACTTACAGGAAATACCCTAAAAGTCTATATGCATGACACTAAGAAATCTATTTTAACTGACTTTTCATCCTGGATTAAATATTAATTTTGGAACCATATAGACAGAGCACTAGAGTGACCCAACCCTGAATCACACACGTCTGTGGGCAGGAGCATACAAACACACACACACAGGTGCATAAATTGCTTAACAAACAGAATTGGACTATATTAGATTTTCTTTGTTAGGGAAAGAACTGATACCATTGTCTTGGACTTGCTGTTAGATATTGAATCAACATCATCTTCATCACAGTCTCACTGCAGCTATCATTTCTCTTCTGATAACACCAGGGATCAGGGATTAAGTCCCTAAATTGTGTGGATATTGGTGAGAGAAAATGAAGAAATGTCACTTTTTTCTTTTTCTTTTTTTTAAGCCAGCATGCTAATTAAAATTCTTGCAACAGATGGCTAAATGATAAAAAAAAAAAATACATACTTCCCGGAGTGGCAAAATCAGATGTTGGAAAAAAGTACGATCAGTTTTACATGATAAACACAGAGCACAATATACTCCTCCCACCTTTGGAAATTTAATATGTGGGTTCAGTTTTTCTGTTTTAATGTTTGAAAAGTTGTTTGCTAATAATCTTTTAGTTTTAGACCACATGGGAAATTCAAAAGAACATAGTCCATAGTATTTCAACTCTAAAGCAAATGCCATTATGAAATTAAAAGTTCCCATTCAATATCCAGTAGATATTTGAGTTTACACAGCAGAGATATAACTTTTTAAGGTTTTTTTTATCACACTGTACTAAATCACAAAATATTGCCACAAATAATCAAAACAAACCATCAAATGAAAAAGAAAGAGCTAGGTTAAAAATTGCTGACACAGTGAAGTAACGTTATTAAGGTCTCCCTTAAAAAAATTCCTTGAGTTATTTTATTACTTCCAATTTCATTAATTGCTGAGTGTCTTTAGTTAGATCTTGCACCTGAGGTAATTAGGTAACGGGCACAGATCATGAATAAAACAAGCAAACATAAATTTGCTCTTAAGATTTCTCCCTCAGTATTATGAGTATATTTCTAGAGCTTCACTCCAACACAAATATTCTAAATGCTGAAGAGAAATGAGAAAAATGTAAACTCTACAATCATTCTTAAACAGGTTAAATACACAAAACAATACCCCTTGACAACAGACCAAAATAAATGGCTGATTTGAGCTAAACATCTAGTTAAATCAAAGGAAAACTATAGCCATAAAACTTAGGTTAGTGTAACTTTGTCTTAAACGGATACTTGAATTGTTTCATTTTCAGAAGCATGTGTTGGAAAAATAATAACAATATGTCTTAGTAAAGCTGAGAACTGCTCTTAAAGAAGAGAATTACATCACTCTAAAACATGTTAAATCCATAAACATAACGGAATACAGGAAAGATCAATTCCTTGGAGGAAAAGGAGATTTTAAATAGTTTACCCATGGCTCTGTGAATTCTATACATAATATATTCAACATTATTTATGTCTCTCAACTGCAACTCACAAAGAAGTTGGAATATTTGTTCATGGAGTAAGACAACTGGATGTGATGAGAGAACATCTACAACCAGTCAATTCAGGTTCAAAGAACATTTATTTCAGATGTCTGGAATCACATGTTTTCCTTGGAAGAAGCAGAGAATGAACATCTCTAGCAACTGATTTTCTGTTTATCTGTAGTTGTTCACTACAGATGTAAATAACCATCAAAACCAAGATTTGGCTGAGTGACTGTAAGTTTTTAGAGTAAAACACATGATAAAGTCTTACAGCGCTTTGTAGAATTAAATGGATTTTTCTCTCCTTCCCCACCTCCCCCATAAAACTCCTTTCCCTGCACAAACATAGTTTTCCTCAGATCAGCCAGTTTTATTATCTGACTTCTTTCAAGACTAAACCTGGACATGAACTATCTTAAGTATAAAAATATATGTATGTATATATGGAAACATTTTGTTATTCTGAACACTTATGTTTTCATAAAACTGTGTTCAAACTGTGGAAGAACTGATGCTTCTAAAATTTCTATTTAAGTTATGTCCCTATTTCCATGGTGGGTAAGTCATGTGTAGAGTTGAGCTGCTCAATATGGTTTTTTTTCCACACAGAATGAAGTAGAGGTCTGGTGTTTCAGAGCTTCACTGAGAAAGTAGTAAAAGAATAATACTCCATATGTGAAAGACTGCAGAAATTTGTTTAAGAAAATAAGTCTCTTCTCATTCTTAAGCATTTCACAATCCAATGAAGAAAAATAAAACCAATATGATATTACCTCAGGATATAACAGTTTGGCAGTATTTAGAACATGAATTAGAGACATCAGAAATGTGTTAAAGCAGTTAAGATCATTTATGTATTATCATTCTATTTTATGAACTATAATTAGAAATATTGATTAATTCTTCATTGATCACTCAGAGGAAAAAAGGTCAAATAAAGCCCTGTAGTATTTTTGTTTTTATGTTTGGTCTCTATGTATAATCTCAAATCACTCAGCAGAAAAGCTTATTTACAAGAGTGCCCATCGGGGAATAGTTTTGTTCGTGAGGTGGTTAGAACCAAATGGACTATGCTAATATAAACTAAATTCTACATGGTTCTGATGTTAATATTCGAATAATCTCTTTGAAAAGAATTGCCGAGAATGTTTGTAGACAATGTTGCCAGACTTGTTTACATTTTTCTCCACCAAGTACATTTATGGCAAATGCAAAAAGAGGTGATTGATGTACATTTTGGAAATTACGTCTGAGAAAATGAAAAGGCTGGATGAAATAGTACTGCTGGGACAGAACATTGTCAGAACTGTCAAATCTGGATCCCGCAAGAAAACAAAAGACAGTTTTATGGCCAATAAACAGCAAATCCACACAATGATTGCCTGTACCTCCTCAGGGAGGAGCATCTGGGTCAAGTCCATACTACAGGCTCTCAGCTGAAATACTGGAAATGAAAGCACTTTGAAAATTACAGAAGTTAAAAGAATGGGAATAAACAATGGAGTTGCGACTTATTTGAGCCTCAAAGCAACACTGATAAGTGATTACGTCATTCCTCACAGGATAATGGACTTAATGTTTGTGCCTATGGCTGTCCTCTGACTTGCAAAAAAGAGAGTATGAACTTTCTCAAAAACGTTATGGACTGATACTGATAAAGATGGAGATTTTCCAGAAAAGAAAATTACATAAAATATGGCAGTAGAAAAAGATTCTGCTTAACCGCAGGTCTGAATTCAGAAGCCATAAGAGCAGTTTCTGTATTCCTGAAATGGCAAAAATGCCCCAGTAAGGAGGCTAAATGTTTACTCCTTAACCAGGAATAATAAACCACTCCCACTTTGCTGTACGTAAGAATTACCAGGAAGCTTATGCCTGTAGCCCTCTGACCACAGCTTGAAAACCACTGAGTCATGGTCCCCGATGTAGGGCCTGCAGGCTCTTAATCATCATGTAATTCTTAATAATCAAACTTACTCCTTGGGAGTAAGTCCATTTCATCTTAGTATTCCACAAATTATCTAAACCTGGATGATGTTCCTAAGTATCGGTTAAATGAAGGAGTAAATGGATGAATTTCAAGCTAAGGAATACATTTTTAAATTTTCTGATGATGTCTGATATGCACATCTGATGATGTCTAGATCTGTCTGCACCATAAGATAACTAGTTCTATCTGGTTTTTATTTTTTTAAACAGTTCTCCCAGCTCAGCGAAAGGCACTGCATTAAGTGTGCCAGGTGTTGGTCACAACAATTGCTCACATATGCACAGTGCCTGACAATGCCAGTAGCACTGCCACATCCTAATTTGTTCATGAGAAATAAAGAAGACTAACACACCACCTCTGCCCTCAAGGAGATTACAACCTAGTGATAACACTGACACAGAAACAAGAACTACAGAAGACATAATTAGAAGCCAAATTGTGTGATTCCAGGCTGTAAACAACTGAGCTCTTCAGAGGAAGGGGAGCATTTCTAGGACCTGGAGTTATTAAGGAGGAGTTTGTAGAGAATATGGGGCTTCTTCCAAGGATGCATTTGATTTAGATCGTTAAAGAAAAAACACTGTGTATGGGAGAAATAAGAGAAGTGAGGGCAAGGAGACACAAATAAACCTTAGAGCAGGACTCTGGACATTAAGGCTGTATGTCCAAAGTAAGTCCATTTCATGAGAGATTAAGGAAGTCAGCTAGTCCTTTAATATTTGTCATCGCCAATTAAACCCCAAGCAAAGGAAAAGTAAGTGAAGTCAAGGACCTACCTGTACTTAACGTTTGGAGAGGAAATACTCACCCACACACTAGAATAGAGAGTTAAAAAGAGTACAGGTCACCTATGTTTATTTTCTAAACATTTCACTTACTATATATAGAAAATATAGTATCCGATTGTCTTAAGTGTTATCATTCTAAAAGTATTCTTATAGTCTTAATTTTTGAAGTGAAAAATACGTGTATGTGTATACATAAATATCCTTGTTTCTATATTATATCATCATCACATATTTTAAAGTATTTATACCTGTGTATATTATTCAGGGGTCCTTAACAACTCTGGATTTATCCAGTTTATGCTCACCATAGAAATCAGAGCTAGCTCAGGGACCTTCATGAAGTTAAGCTTCAAGATTAAATATGAATTGGGAAGCACGTAGTGATTCGCTCCAGATTCCTTGTGACAACATCATGGACTTGCATGTTGCTTTTGATGTGCTTCTGAATATGCTGGCTTCTTTCCACCAGTTTTAGAAAGTTTTATGCTGACTCATTTCATCACTTGGGAATTAATTGCTATATCCTTGTAGGACAAGGACTCTTCCTTAAGAAAGTACAATATTCTGTGCTCTGCTGTGGAAAACTGTGTCTGTTCCAGTATGTGTATTGTGAGTAATAAAGCATCAAACTGAAAGAACCGGCTCTTTAGTTTTCTTTGTCTTCCAAATTATTTCACTTTTGGTACAATTTGACCCTAAACTACTTGCCCAGAAGCATTTCATTTTAATCCAGTGGCACCCAACATGTACCACTGTGGTTTTTTGAGATGATAATAAATAACACAGAGATAGACATTTTTCATTTTAATAATAAATTTAATGTGTATTGGAGCAAATATGACTCATAAAATTCATGATGTCAGTTGTATTTATGAGTTCCTTTAATGTTGATATTAGATATGCAAAAAACTGTAAGGGTTAGATAAGTGGCTGAAGTTTGGACAACACTGAAGTAATTATTTCAAGTGTCTCTGCCCCTTTTTGAACAACAGCAAAGTAAACCCAAATGCTTGTGTGTATCATTGCAAAGCAAATTGCTCCATTATCTTTGTAGTGCCTAGTAATCTCCAATTTACCTGGAATAGGCAGAGCAAAAATACACAGACTGTAAAGTTCAGCTCTTGGTAAGTGGGGTTTTGGCTCATTCCTGGGGCCACTGCTCTAGTACACAGACTCTATCTGATAAAAGTTCATCTTGCCATGTAAAACAAAATGCTTTTCTTGAATAAAAATATGTAACATTTGAAGCACTGCAGCACTGAGTGAACAAGAGTGTATTCTTTGAATCCTCTTTATTCAAAAATAAAACAACCTTGCCACCACTAACCCTGTCTACCTTCCAAAACATTTTTGTCTCACATTATGCTGTGTAGCACCTCCAGCAATGTAAATTTTCCTCAATACTCATAGGTAATTAGTTTAGTGGGATTTTACCAAATAGCATTAAACTCTTTCCCAGATCTCCTAAAAATGCTGTAAAAACCAATGATGACACATTTTTGCTCACCATGGTCAGAAAGTGCAGTGACTAGCACTCTGCCTGGAACATAATGAACCCTTCAAAATATCTGTTAATGGATGTAAATGAATGTGCTTATTAAAAAATTAAATTTAATGAATGGCATTTTTTTACCACAGATAATAACTACTAAGGGTCTAGACTGCAAGCAGACACTAAAATTCTTAGACCTCAATCTCAAACACCAGGTACTTATTCATATTAATCTTAAAGTATGTTCAGTCTCATAAGTCCACAAGCTTTTTAGGTGAATCAGTGGTGGATCAGAAATGTCATCATCAGAAAATAATGCCAAGAATAGATCTCATTGTATTTCCGGTCAGAGATTGCCTTCTAAGTCTCAAAGAACTGACATCACATATTTATATATGTTATTACTCTTCTAATATAGCACAAACTTGATGAATCACAGAAAACAAGTTTTTTTCTCGATACTTCCATGTAGGATCCTGTCATTTCAATTCATCTTTTTGTCTCCTCAATTTCTCTTAAGTGATTTATAAATATTTGACTCAGCATATAATCACTGCATCTGTAAAATGCAGATAGAAATATCTAATCCATGCATGAACTGTGAGGATTAAATTAAATTACACATACAAGTAATTACAAGACACAGCCCACTTAACATTCTCTAACGATTATTCATCAGACAAAAGACGAGGAATTTCAACCATATCAAGTCACAAATATTGAGAAATGCTGTGCAAGGTACTTTGCTAGATGCTGGAATCAGCCAAAGAAGATAATAAGAATTGTCCTCAGGAATCTTACAGTCTGACTGAAGACATCAAATACAAACAATTTTGGGTAACAGTACAAGATTTAACTAGCAGTTCAAGAAGCCAGAGAAGAAAAGAAGGAAGTGCATGGTGAGTTCCCCTATTATTAACACAAACAGTAATTGCCAAGAAAGTTCAGAAGGGAGGGAAGTCACTCCAGTCTACACCAGCAAGATGAGACCTTAAAGAAGCAGTAGAATGTGAGCAGAATGTTAAATAGTAGTAACATATGAAAGAGCAGAGAAGGCATGCGGGGGAGTAGACAGAGAGAAAGGCATTCAAAAAAAAATGTCTCAACAAATGAGAAGGGATAAGATGTGTGGAGACAGAGGAGTGTGATAGAAACTGTGGAAAACTGTTTACAGTAGAATATCAAGAGCAGGGTAACAGCCTGAATTCAGGTCATGCTCATTGAAAAAGCCCGTAGTTGGGCTGTGTTTTACTGTCAAACTAAGAATATTTTCCTGAAAAGGTTAGGCATGAAAATAATAATAATGTTATGGATTAAATGCTTGTGTTTCCCAGAAATTCATGCATTGAAATCTTAACTCCCAAGGTGATGGGATTCAGAGGTGAAGCCTTTGGGAGAAGATTAGCTCATGAGAACAGAGCCTCCATGAGAGAGATTAATGCTCTTATGAAAAGAGACCCGCAGAGGCTCCCCCTCTCCTTCTGCCATGTTAGGACCCAGCAGACTGCTGCCTGGATACCAGACTTGGAATCTGTCAGTGCCTTGGTCCTGGACTTCCCGGTCTCCAGAATTGTAAGAAATCAATTTCTCTTGTTTATAAAGCACCCAATCTATGGTATTCTGTTAAAGTGGTCCAAACAGACAAGACAAATCCTATTTTGCTTAGCTGGTTTCTGGTTTAGAATAAGTAGAATGTAAGTAGAATAGTAGTATTATCTTTGAATCTGTCTATAAATTTAGATTATTCCAAAATAATAACTTTACTTTTTAAAATGTTTATAATAGAAGTTCAAGAGGACAGCAATATGATCTAGAATGTTTCTCCTATAAACCCCAAAATTATTTTGACATTAAGATATTTTTCTTTCATTAGTCAAATGGCAAAATTAGGCAAACTTTCTTATCAAAATCACTAGCAAAAGTCATAACTATCAAATAATTCAAGTGCAGGGATTTTTTTTTTCTTTTGCAAGGAGCTTTTTGAATGTCTCTCACCTGAGTCAGTTAGCTTCATCTTCTGGTATATAGCAGTGTAAACCAGAAAAGCCCTGTCCTGACCCCAAATACACCCATACAAACACTCTCAGATTACAGAATTTATAGAAGTATAAAATCATTTAAAAGCCAGAGACATCTTTCTTCACTCCATCCACGTAACTATTCATTAATTAAAATACACCACGCAGCTACTGCATGACTTCTCTCATTCTCAGGTATTATAAAACGGACACTAGTTGACTCCAAGAAGTGTCTAATGACTCTGCCATTACCCTCAGAGAAACTCCAGCATTGATGACTAAAACAGGGTTTCAGCTTGTGCCCCACAGTCCAGACCTCGAATATCACATCTTGTCTTCAGCTGTTATGGCAAATGACATGCACGTGGCAATTTCTAAGGTCTAAGACTAACTCTTGAGCTGAAAAAAAAACAGCTGAAAAATAAGTTATAATTACAACAGTCAGAACATTTGGTTGGTTGTTTTGCTTCTTAGTCCTGTTAGCTGTGATTGGACAGAGTTGTACAGAAATATCTTGAGACATTATCCCAACAAGTCAGATGAAGGGAAGAAAAATAAGAACAACAACAAAAAGGGGGAAAAAAACAATGATTAATGGAAATAACTTTTCCAAAGATCATATTCTGTGTTGGATTTATTGAAAGAAGTTCTTTCAGAGTTTAACATTCAGTATTTAATATAACCACTGTTACTTCATTCTCAGTCAGTCATTTTCTCTGGGAAGATTGTAATTGGCTACCAGAAGGATTTGAGATAGCTGAAGAATCATGGCCTTTGCTTGGAACATTGAACACATTCTTCTTAATGCTAAGATATGAAGGATGTGGAAACACTTATTTTCATAGCCAAATAGTGAACTACAGCTTCTTTTCAAAGTGAGCATTTGCTAAGTTTACCCACATCACATCTTGTTCATCTAGGCTATACCTCAGACTGTACTTCTGCTTGCTGACCAGAAACAACAATGGACATGATTTACATGAATTGCTATCCTTTAATTTCTTACATCAGTTACACATTTAGTATTTTTTGAAAATTAATATGGCCATGTCTTATTACCAGCATGATATGGTCAATGGAGTGACACTTAGAAGATCCAGAGATATTGGGACCCCACATTAAAGCTGCTTCCTGCATGTAGCAAGCACTGTGACAAGGAAGTTGAGGTGGCCCAACAAACATTTATTTATCACCATTCTGGAGGCAGAGAAGTCCAAGATAAAGGCACCAGCAGATCTGGCGTCTGATGAGGACCACTTCCTGGCTGGTGGTGAGCAGCCTTCTCCCTGTGTCCTCACATGGAAGAAGGAATGGAGGAGCTCTCTGGGACCTCTTTTGTAAGGGCACCAATCCCATTCATGAGGGCTCCATCCTCATGTGCTAGTCACCTCCCAAACACCCCACCTTCTAATACCATCAGGTATTGCCATAATAGCTGAAGACAAGATGTGATATTCGAGGTCTGGACCGTGGGGCACAAGTTGAAATCCATACCACCTAATCCTACCATTAGGTTAGGATTTTAACACAGGAATGTTTAGGAGACACAAATATTCACTCAATAGCAAAGTGAGAGTCAGTTACACTTGGGTTTGAATTTCCCCTCTGCCACTTACTACCTGGGTATCCTCAGCAAATTACTGAGCTCAGTTTCCTCATTTAGAAAGTGCAGACTATAACATCTATCATGCAGGGCTGCTGTGAAGAGTAGCGATCAGCTATAGAAAGTAAGTGGCACAGCGTAGGCCATTATCATCATCATCATCATCATCATCATTACACTTAACATTTGTAAATAAAATGAGCAGTCACCTCTCTCATTGCTCTTTCTGCTTTTCCTGGCTTTTAAGGATCTCCTGACATTCTGGGAAGATTTACACTGCTGGTCAGATAATACAGGCAGTGCACATTGATGGAAAATAGTCTTAGTTTAGGGGAAGAGGAATTGGATGGAGAGTTATGAGGGCCCTAAAGACAGCTCCCAAATGAAAATTCACTGATACTCATTTGAGAAACTTCCTTTCACCAGTAATGTTTTCATAAATTACATTATCTCCTGTCTCCAAACCAGAAATTTATGAAACTCTTTATTTGCCTTCTATTTAGACACATTAGCAAAAAGAAGCTCCCAGTTTTAAGAATGTGCAGTAGTGAGAATTAATAACATTTCTTGAATTTCTATCTTATCC